CTTGTCCCCTCACATCATCAATATTAAGTGTAAGGGACTCAATTACATTTTGCAATTCATTAAAAAATCCTAATCCAGATGTATCTTCCGCATTCAGAAACTTTAAAAAGTAGTCTTCTATATTTATTGGAGTACTTGAAACATCTACACACCTTAATATTAAAGTCATTTGTTCTTTGTGACTTGCATCAGGAGTACAATCAAGAATGACAGAAAAATATTTAGTTTTTATTTTTTCAATGATTGCATGTTTAACATTTGATGCTAAAATAGCCATCAACTCATTTTGAATTTTATAGCTAAGATAATGATAATAAATCTTCTTATCTTGAATGAGTCGAAAATGGTGTTGCATTACTAGATCAAACTCTGCAATCATTTCAAGCAGGCCTAAAAAGTTACCATTACCATCTTCATAAATTTTTTCATTTGTTCCACGAAAAGCCAAATTATGTATAGCAAGACATTTCACAACAACAATGATTCTGACAATAACATTTTTTCAGTGTAGTTTATCTTTCTTGATTAGCTCTTGTAATTCTGTATCAATTGTTTGATTTGTTTTCAATCTGATTTGCAATTCAACACAAGACCTCAAGTTAGTGAGGTGTTCAATATTGCTTTCATGTTGTCTAAGCTTCTCACCAAGATGTTTCCAATATCTAATTCCTTCACTAGTTAACTGACTTCTAGAATTCATTGTTTTAAATAACTTACAACAGAAACAAAACACTTTATCCAACTCATTTGAGTACACTAGCCATTTTCGATCCTTAGTTTCCCCGTTTGGTAACGTACGAATATAATAATTTGAAGAAAAATGTCTATTGTGTTCGTCCATGGGGAATTTGAGATTAGTTTCTCTTAGGGGACCTTTTTCTACAAGTAAATCTCTCATTTTTGCATCAAGATTATCCCAAACTCGTGGATCATAAATGTTCAAATCAAATCTTGTTTCGGACATTCATTTTCATGGCAAGGTTCATCAATATTTTCATTTTCATCAAGGAAAGGTTCATCACTACGTTCATTTTCATCTAGATCACCAATTTCTTCATTCACATCATTCTCATTTTCTACTAATTCTTCCAATTGAATTGGGTGTTCATATTCATTTGGTAAATCACCTTCATCTAAATTTTCAAGTGAAGCATTGGTTTGTTTAACAAAATATTTATTCAAAGATCCTCTTAAACTTTGAGCAATTTCATCATTTTTTTCTTTTTTTGTCTCTTGAGATTTCCGAAAAGTTGTTTCTTAGGAAACATTTTTTAATTTTTATAATAAACACTTAACAAAGAACAAAGAACAATAAAACATGGATTTTGAGCATATGTTCTTCCACTTGAAACTTCCAATTATAAAGATCAAGAATCACAGCCAATGTTTCTGTTGAATCAAATAATAATTAAGAAAAAGTTAAAAAGATATGTATTACAAATTTGCAAATTACAAAATTTATACATCTAAATTCTATATCTTATCTTAAAAAAAAGTACCTTCAAAGAAAGTCGCTGCTACCTATTAGTCCAGTCGAACCCCACGAGGTCAGAGTTGGGGCTTAATCAAGAGCATCCTGATACAAAAGTTTAGATTAAATACTGAACCATAGAATCAAGAGTTAATGAGTTATCAAAGGAAGTTCAACATTTCAGAGCTCATACACAATTGAATAACATAAGCAAAACCCAACTAATTTAATCTCATAGGTAATAAATAAGGATATCAAGGGACCGTCTTCCCAACAGAAAATTGCCAGATACAAGACTTTAATTTGAAGAGTCCTCCATCGAGGCTTCTACAAAATATATTGAATTCTACTTGCAAACACATGTAGAAATCAATCAGAGAGATTCCAAAAACTTCAAGCAGTTTCCCCAATTCAATCTATTAATCTAAAAATAAAGAATTTTAGAGAATTTTGAGAAATAGTGAAATACCCAAATGGAGAATCATGAAGAAATCTGGAAATCCAGTATCAAGGAGCGATCGACCTTGGCGCAATACGAACTGTCGAATAATTTTAGAGAGGGAGAGGGAGAGAGAGAGAGAGAGAGAGAGAGAGGAAAATCTAGTAAAGGAAGAGATGAGGTGAAGAAGAGGCGGTGGGTTGATGGGAAATTAGCAGAGCCGGCCTAGGGGTAGGACCAGGGGTGAAGAAGAGGTGGTGACAGCTTGCTATGAGTTGTAAACTTGTAATCGCTATCATGGGGTACATTTACGAATGGATGTTAGTTCACCTTATAGTTTGCTCACCCACCCCTAGTGCCCCCCTCAGTTGTGGGCCCCGGGTTGTAGCCCTGGTGGCCCTAGTTTAAGGCCGGCTCTGGTCGCAGCTAAAATGTGAGAGAAGAGGAAGATAAAGAAAATTTAACTATAGGAAGAAAAGTTATGAACGGAAACTTCACTGGTTTTCTAGGGGTTTTAAGGTTTAGTGTTCAGCTTCAGATGCGTCTGATCATGCTTACTTGGCGCGTCTTTTTTTCGCTGCCGCCCACGTGTGGCCGTGCGCTACTTATAATCATGATATAATATATTCATATACCTTATATAGTTATACTTATATATATATCCACTATGATACTATCATATATATAATATACTATATAACTAATATACTATATATGGATTGCATTCGCGTTGTGACCGGTGCCGCGCGCTCACGTCCTCAGTACTCACTATAAAATGCACCTCGTGTTCTGCATTGCCCTGAAGATACTTGGTTCTATATTTAATATTATATTATCTAATAAATTATATATAAATATTATATAAAGTTATTTTATTACACTATTATTAAAAAATTAAGTTATATTATTATTAGTACTTATACTATTATTAACATACATTTAATAGTAATTTAGATTTGCTTATTATTATGTTATTGAACAATTTATTTAAGAGTATATTTATTAAATAATAATGTAATTATTAGTTTAAGTAACACTATTAAAATAATTAAATCATTTATATTATTAACTATTTATGCTATCTAGATATTTTATTACAATGGTAATTAAACAATGGCAATAATCTTAATATCATATGACTTTATGCTGTAAAGAATATTACCTTGTTCAATAATTAACATTGTCTTAGTAATAAAAAACTAGATGTTATAAATTAAAAATGTTTTTATTCAGAAAAATTGCTTTATATAAAAATATTGGATCCTTGAAATTTACGAGACATTTATTTTCCAACAAAAAGTGCATGTCTCATAGATTTCAAAGATCCAATATATTTATATAAATCAATTTTCCTAAATAAAAGTATTTTTAATTTATAATGGCCAATTTTTATTCCTAAGAAAATATTATAATGTCGAGCAAGGTAATATTTCTTACAATAAGAATCAATCCCTATCTATAGTATTATTAATAATTATAATTATGTATAATAATTTGTTAAATAATATATTTACTATTTCATTAAAATTAATAATAATTTATAATAATTTATAATATGTTTATGAATTTTATTATCATTATAAATTATTAATATATTCTAGTGAATGACCAAATATTTTGGGAAAATGAAGAGAAAAGTATATGCCATAAATTTCAAGGATCTAATATTTTTATATAAAGGAATTTTCCTAAATAAAAGCATTTTTATCTATGGCTTCTAAATTTTTATTACTAAGACGATATTAATTATCATATTCTTTATAACATAAAGAATCAATCCCTATTTATATTATTATTAATAATTATAATTATGTATAATAATTTATTAAATAAATAATTTTACTACTTTATATAATTAACAATTCTTTATAGTAAATTATAAATATTTATGAATTTTATTATCATTATAAATTATTATATATTCTAGTGATTGACCAAATATTTTGAGGAAATGAAGAGATGCGTAGTTAATGGGAGGTGATGGATCATTAATTTTATAAATAATGGTATAATTGTGAGTTATAAAAAATTGAGAGGGTAAAAAAGAAATCAAAAGTTTTGACATGAGTATTCTCTTTTATTAGTATAGATGTAGATGAGCTACCAAGTGATGAAATTGTGAGGTCCACACCTTTGATGTGACAACTAGGGCGGGCCTCACCACACGCGCATCTCATGGTAGCTCATTTTTAAAAAAATGAGCTGCCACGTCATACACTTTTTTTTCCACACATTTATTTCCTCACGCTTTCGTGAAACATAATTATAAAAAATGCACATGCCTTCTGCAAGAAGATTTTCTTCTCTCGCTCAACTGATCTATGCACTTTATGATTTCCACATCAATTACAGATGATGTACATAAGCCATTGTTTTAAATATCCCCGACATGACCCGATATATCCTTTTACATGGCTTGCCGCAACCGATATGGTCTTTAAATATCCTTTATCGCTTTTTGGCTATTTTGAGTGATAAATCCCCGATATGGCCGATATATTAGCCGATATGTGGACCAATATATCTTTTTATATAGCTTGTTGCAAAATAATATACCGTGTTTGGAATTTTTAGACGAGATATCAAGATTTCCCCATTATATCAAATGATATTTTGCCCTAAAAAAAGCAGATCGAATGTTGCAACGTTGCTTTGCACTTTTGTTTGTTTTAGAAGGTTGATTAGTGATCCTAAACATATATTATTCATATTTTGTATGCTTAAATTTTCATTACGTATGTTGAGATTATATTGTAATGCATTATACTATGTATGCAAACATTCATTATGGAATTCCGATATTTACCACATATCCCCGATATTTCCCCAATATCTGCAATCCGATATGAATTTTGGCCATCCGATATTTCCCCAATATCCGATATTTAAAACCTTGACATAAGCTGAACTTTGTCGTAAAAATACTTTAGACAAACTAATAATTACCATTGTCTAGGTATCCGCAGCTGAAAGTAGAATGTTTGGCTGGATTTGAGGAAATATGCCTGTCAATTTTATTTGCAAATTGATTGTTTAATTTTATTACTATTTGCACACTGAACGATTATATGCCTTTCAATCACTATGCAGATTCAGATTCTGGGAGTTCTTCTCGAGGAAGTGAATCCGATGCTAAAGCTGCCTCTCCAAATTCAATTAAGGTATGCAGTTTATTTTATTTGTTAGATTTGTGCATGTGAGCACAGCTTGGATCATTAGCAGGCGTTTTCTTTTGTATTAGAATGTATTTATAGGAGTCCGTGATATTGCAGGAACATGAACAACCTGGGGTAGCTGTGGGCACCGAAAAATGCGATACTGCAGTCTCATTTGATGCAAACAGTACGTTTTGAATTTGCCACCTTTTGTCTTGGGCAGTGATCAATCTCTTGAGCATTCCTTAGAGAAATTTTTTTGGGCATTATACAGGAACGATTAGTGGGATGGATCAGCAAGACCATAGTGCTCATCTAGAGCCTACATCTGTCGAGGCAGATGACTATCGAGAGGGTAAGCATGTGTTTCTGAAAAGAAAATTGTAAAACCATGAGGTCTGTAACCGTTGACCTATATACCAATGAATATTCTAGGGGAGAATGCAACATCCAAGAGGCAAGTCTCCCCAGATAAGCTTTATCGAGCGGCTCTACTGAGGAATCGTTTTGCTGATACAATTCTGAAAGCTCGCGAGAAAACCCTCAATCAGGTTTGTTGCGTCAGTCTCTAATGTTTCACTCTCTTTTGTTTAATGGTTTCGCTATGATTGTCACTGGAGGATGCTTTGTGATTTTAGGGTTTAAAGAAGGATCCTGAAAAGTTGCGCCGTGAGAGAGAGGAACTTGAGCGACAACAAAGGGAGGGTATGAGCCAAACCTTGTATTGCTGCATAACTATTGCTCCATTTTTCTTTTAGGTTTTGTTATATTAGACCCCCAAATTTTAGTTAATTCTATATTAGATCCTCGAATCCATTAAGTTGTTTTAAATAAGAAGTCGAAATCTATTAAGTTATTTTAAATGAGACCCTCAAATCTACTAAATTGTTTCAAATAAAACACCCATTTCAGACAAGTACGAAGATTTGGGGGGTCTAATTTAGAAAGATGAAAATTTGTGGGTCTAATATAGAATTAACAAAGATTTGGGGGGTCTAATATGTCAAAAACCTTTTTTCTTCCATGCATTAAACTTTACTTATCAAAACAGAGAAAGCTCGGCTGCAAGCAGAAGCCAAAGCTGCTGAGGAGGCTCGAAGACAAGCTGAAGCAGAAGCAGCAGCTGAAGCTAAGAGGAAGAGGGAACTTGAGAGAGAAGCAGCACGTCAGGCTCTGCTCCAGGCAAGTACATGTTTTCATTGATTGCCGGTGTCCGTTTAATCTGCTATTTTTATTTGATGTTGGATAGTTTGGCCTCTTGCAGATCGAAAGAACAGTGGAGATTAATGAGAACAGCTTATTTATGAAAGATCTAGAAGTACTTGGAACTGGCCCTGCTGAAAATATATCGAGCACAGTTCATGAGATGAGTCCAGATCCCTTGCAGGGTTTGGGTTGTTTTAACGTTGGGGGAAGTAACCCTCTGGAACAGCTCGGATTGTTCAGGAAAGATGATGATGATGAAGAGGAAGAGGAATGTGGACCGACTAGTCCTCCACAAGATGATATCGAGGAGGGAGAAATTGATTGAGAATGGCTTTAGCTGCTGCCAAGTTGACGAAAGAGGAAAATCGGGAAGTTCCAAGCTCGTTTTGGTTCGATGGTATGCTGGGGTTTTAAACCATGCACATCTTTTTGAGAACGGATTGATATCTCCAAGCCCAGCGGTTTATGTTAACAGGATCGAGGGTTTTTATGAATACCCAACTGAATGATTCATTTTGGCGTTTAAAGTGCACTCACGGACTTGGGGATAGTTGCCTTAATTATGGACTAAGTTTTTTTAGTCCTATTTTGAGGGAGATCTGAACTGTGTGAATGTTGGGAGTAAAAAGAAAGAGGCTTTCAGCTGTACTGACTGCAGGGTGGGGACTGATGGAGGAAACTATACTTTCTATGCTTTTTATTGCCTCGCAAAGATTCACATTCATTATATGGGCTGAGTGTGGAGGCATCAGAGTTATTTTATCTTTCTGTTGAAAGGCTTTCTGTAGATTGTTGTTGATATGTAAGATTCATTGACCTATGCTCCTCCGTTGCATCACGCACTGTGCGCACACTTCGGATCAAATTAAAACTGAAGGGTAAAGAAGAAAAAGGAGAAAGAGTGAAAGGGGTGAAAAAAAAGAGGGTGAAATGCAATTATTATTTATTGCAGTAGGCTAGAACCTTTGCCTAATTGTTCATTCTTGTCAGGCTCTAGGCGGAGAAGTGGGTACCAAAAACTCAAGACCTGGTTGTGTCCTAGGCTATCAAAATTTGCAATTGTGAGCCGAACGTTTCGATAAATTTGGCACCAATAGAATTTTTTGTTTGTTTTATTGCTAAAAGATAATTGCTCCAATATAAGATCAATACGGAATATATGAGAAAGGTTATTTCTCAAATTTGTTGTTTGGCAAGAGTTTCAAAGAACACCTCAAGACGAAATGTTGGGTAGTTTCCGAGGAAGGGGTTTCACAACCTTGTTGATGAATACCCTGCATCAGTATGGGGTGTGTCAAGTTAGGCACCTCTTGTGGTGTAGAAGCACTCTCAACCTACATGATGTAGTAGATGAAATTTTAGACGAAGTCGACCATGCTTCAATTATGGACACAACATAGGATAATTTCTCGGACTGAAGTAGTTCTACGGATAAAATCATGTACTAAGCTGACAATGCATTATAGACAAGGATTGTTAGGTTTGCACTTCTATTGTCATCGACCCGGGACATATTATGTAGTTGATTACTTACGTTGACATTGATCTTTTAATCTAAGGCCTCGTTATAGTAATGGAAGCTAGAATGCTCATTTCCATTTCTTCTCAGTGGGCATTCCCAATGAGCTGGTAAGGAATGAACATTCCTACTTACGTGGGAACAAAATGATTAAATTACATACCATATATGCCATAAAATAAATTACATTCTCATTCATTCTCTAATTTCATCCAAACATGAGAATGAAAATGTGAATTTCATTCCCACACTAATTTCGTTCCGTTCCTTGCTTTATTATATTCTCACTTGATCCGCTTCCCGCGTACCAGATGGGCGTAAAAAAACCCAGCAATTTCAAGTGGAAAAAAAGTTGGAGCCTCCCACTCATTGCAGATTCACAAGTAGAAAGCGGAGAGGAAATCTCTTTTTAATGCAAATCATTGATTATTTTAATCTACCATAATGGACAGTTATAATCCATTTCACTAACAACACATCGTTTCCCCATGAATTGTTCATTTCTAGTTTACACTCAATTAAACAAATCACGACGTCCCACATACCCATGAATTATGTTCGTTTATATTTTACACTCAAACAAATCATGACATTTTATTACTCAATCAACTGATATAAGAGAAGTAATGTCTCCACTACTTTTTGGTAGTGGAGAGAATCCAAATCCACCATAAAAACCCAAGTGAGACGAGATCTACTTATTTGATGAAAATTTTGATTTATTCTTTTTCCTTTTCCCCTCCTTTCAACGTGAAAGCGTCCATGACTCTATTAACGGCTCACTGGATACCTTCATCAACTTTGCTGCAACGTTAACATGACTGTAAAATCCAACAACCTTATCTCTGCATATCTTCACAAAATCTTGCCCAACTCATTTATCAACAAAAATATTGCTTACCACACAGCTAAGAACAAGACGAGGAAAACACATTTCTCCATCACTAATTCTCAAACATGCCTTCGTCTGACATCCTAGGTGATTCGGTACCATTAACAAGTGGCTTGTTCGTCGAATTAGAATTTGAGCTGCCTAAAATACTATAATCAAAGTCCAAATCATCATCATCGTCGTCGTCGACAACCTCTTCTTCCTTTTCCTCAATTTCTTTTGGCATAATCTTCATCTGGGCTTCTCGGCGTTCCCTTTGCTTGATTGCTTCTTCATATGACATCTCATACCAAACATTACCTCTCGCAACTATGGATTTGTTGTGGTCTTCAGTCATTCTCTCTTGCCTGCTTTTCTCGGAGTTCTTGGGCTCTCCCCAATAGTCGTAGCGATACATAGGTTTTGTTGGGTCATACTTGTCCTTGTCAAATGCAGTATCAATATCATATCTTCCAGGTTCCTCAACAGGAAGGCCGAGAGCTTTTCGGCTGACAATGAAGCCAAATATAACAATATCATCAAACAATTGAGTGTTGGTAAATATTAGTTCACATTAAACAGTGCGGAGGATGGAAAACATGAAGCATACCAGCTGATGTCTCTGGTTAAAGCTTCTCTTTCTTCGAATGAGCGACGCCAATGCATTAGGTCATACTCGTCCATCTCTATATTCCGTCTTAACTTGTCGACTTTAAACTCTTCTCCTCTACCTTCTGCTTCCTTCTTTAATTTGTTGTTCAACTGCATTGGAAAGAAAAATGGACAAGGATTCAGTTCCTTGAAGAGTAACAAATGAATTGCAAATAACTTGAAATACAGATATAAGGCAATTGCTCTGATCCAAGACTCTACATTGCTCACTAGAAGAACAACAAACACCTTCTCACTCTGTGTGCATATACACACTTTAATAACGGGCATACAATTGGCTTGTGATATACCAGGATGCCAAATCTATGTAACCAAGTTAATTACTATGAGTTCGATAGGGATGTCAAATGGGTGGTTTTGGTTGGGTCTTGGTTGGCTCATAAATGGGTGGGTACATTTATGACCACTTGACCATTTATGACCCATTTAGCATTTGCTAAATGGGTTAGTTCTCAACCACCCATTTACTAAATGAGTGGTTTATGGGTGACCCAATAACCCATTTAGTTATGATTATGATGCTTCTATATATATGTAAGTTTTAGGGATCTACTTGCAAACTTTCAGGGGTTTTTGGCAAATTTCCAGGGGGGTTTTCTGCAAACTTTTAGGGGGTTTTCTGCAAACTTTCAGGGTTTTTTTTACAAACTTTCAGGAATTTTTTTGCAAACTTTCAGGGGGTTTTCTATTACAAACTTAAAAATTCAACATCTGAACCTCAATTAGCTAATTATATGACGGAATACTTGAGAACAAATTAAACTTGTCCAGTACAACACCATGGAATCATGGAACGACAAATTAAATTACTTACAAGACGAAGAATAAATTAAATAGCGAGAAAATGAACGAATTGAATCAATGATGAGATGTGACTCGGTTACTTCTCATTTGCTTATAAGGTAAACCCGTAGAGTGCACGAACACAAACAGGAAAGCCATCGAGTTAACAGCCCAGATGTAACTCGGTTACTTCGTTTGTGGAACAAAATGATACTGTTAAGTAAAGATGATATCCGAGCGCGAGGCTTCCCAATAAGGAAGCTGACTTACCGAGCGTACAGATTTTTTTCAATGCATAGCCTGCACTGCCAGCGAAGTTGTCTAAATAAACTTTGAGAGAGGTAAAAACATCCTAACTAAATTTGGCTCTAAAAACCCACGCACCACACATTCCATAAAAAAATCCTAACTAAATCTTTTTGCCGTCTAAATTTGTCAAAAAAATATGGTAAAAATATCACGTCCCACTCCGAGGATCTTAAAAATCCTGCACCTCCTTAGCTTTGCGTGAACTACCGAAGTTTTTTAGATTTCATGTGTCATTTGTAAGTTTAGAAAATTCTAAGATTGTTTTGTAGTTTTGAACTCTTGAGGGTGCTTTTTGCACTTTTTAAACTTTGAGGGTGCTTTTTGTAAATTATAAATTTATAAGGGGCTGCTAGTAATTTTTTGATTTCATGTGTCATTTGTAGGTTTTAAAATTTCAGGATAGTTTTGTAATTCTAAACTATGGAGGGTGTTTTTCTAAAAATTTAAAACTTTGAGGGTGTTAATTGCAAATTTTAAATTTATAGGGGACTATTGAAATTTTTTAGATTTCATATGTCATTTGCAAGTTTAGAAAACTCTAAGATTATTTGGTAATTTTGAAGTCTTGAGGGTGTTTTTCTCATTTTCTATAACTTTTAAGGGTATTTTTTACAAATTCTAAAATATAAGGAGGGTGTTGGTAATTTTTGAATTTCATGTGTCATCTGTGAGGTTAGAAAATTTTGATAGTTTTTTTATAATTTTTAACTCTTGAGGGTATTTTTATAATATTTTAAACTTTGAGGGTGTTTTTTGCAAATCTCAAAATTTTAAGGGGTTTTAGTCATTTTAATTGTTTTCTATAATTTTTAACTTTTAAAAATAAGTTTTGTAATTGTTGAAGCATTGAGGGTGTTTTTAAAACAATATCCATCTAAACGGGTAAATGGGTGGGTAATAACCCGCCCATTTATCTTTAATAGAAACTATACCCACTCATTTATGACCCATTTAACTAAATGGGTGGGCTTGGATGGTTCATTTGGCGGTTGGGTATGGGTGAGCAATTGGTTTTGGGTCCATTTTGCCATCCCTAGAGTTCGATAATTTTGACAAAGGGCAGCCTGGAACATGGTCTTTGAAACACTTGGGAACTAGATACTTTGGGAAGGAGAACAATATCTCTTTTCCATGTCACTCCCTGTTCCTTTCACTGTCTTTGAACTATTTCTTTAATTTTTTAACTGCTTATTTAAGTGAAAATGAAAATCATTATGGAAAGTTATGGAAAATGTTTTCACATAGAGTTTTTTTTCCTAA